CAGCTACTCAGCTGGAGTTGATTGCCAGTCTCATTATGGAAAATAACTACAACAAGCTTCCAGAGACTCAAAAACATGTACAGCCAAGTTGACACGTAACTGTACCTACCACATTGATGATATCATTCAATAATTTCCACATTCTGTTGGATGACCTTTCTTCAGAATGAGCAGAAATATGGATCTCTTCCAGTCGGTTGGTCAGATAGCTGTTTTCCATGTTCCTTGGTATGAATGAGTGAGGGCCTCCAACACTGTATCAGTTAGTTGAAACATCTCAATGGGTATTCTGTCAATTCTTAGAGCCTTGTTTTTTACCACATCCTTCACTGTGTCTTGGACTCCTTCTTTTAATACTATTAGTTTTTAATACATGCTACTTCTTGAAATGGTTAAACATCAAGCACTTCTTTGGACTTTTTGTATTTCTTCCATCTTCTTTTGATACTTCCTACATTGCTCAATATTTTGCCCATAGAATCCTTCAATAACACAACTCAAGCCTTGAAATTTTTCTTTAATTCTTTCAGCTTGAAAAATGCCCGGTGTTCTTCTCCCTTGATTTTCCAACTCCAGATCTTTGCACATTGAATTATAATACTTTATTTTGTTCTCTCATACTGCCCTTTGAAATCCTCTGTTCTGCTCTTTTACTTCATCATTTCTTCCAATTGCTTTAACTACTCCTCATTCAAGAGCAAGTTTCAGAGTCTCTTCTGATACCCGTTTTTGCCTTCTCTTTCTTTCCTATCTATGCTGTGCTAAAGCTGCTTATTTTATACTCTGCATTGTCTCCTTATTTCATATAGTCTATGTCTTTGATCAGTGATCATAATTCATCTTAGTCATATGCCTACAAGCATTAAAAAAGACTCTTGCTTCTTCATCTCACATTTGAATTTTGTGATCTATTCGCTAGAACCAGAAAATTATTGATAATATTGTACATATTTTGAATTAATTAATTAATTATCTAATGAATTAATCTAAATCTTAGAACCCTTTAGGATCCTGTCAGGAATTAAATTCAAGTCCTACACTGTCAACTTCACATTGAAAGTTGTTGCCATGGCAGAAGAAACAAGCAACAGAGCAGCAACAAAAGAATTCAAGTCTGGAGAGTCATCCATTCATGAATAGAAAAGGAGGAAGAGGAGATGGAGAAAATGAATACACAAAAACAAGTATATCCTGACCCGAAAGAAGAAGACCTGAGTTGGAAAATGGCTTGAAAGAGTGGATTTTTTCTCAAAGGGAGCAAAATCAAACTTTCTCAACTGTTGCAATTAAGATCAAAGTGAAGCTTCTGGCAAATGAAAGTGGAACCCCAGATCTCAAGATGAGTTTCATCTGAATTTCTAAATTAATTAAAAAGGGATACCCTTTAAACAAGAATGAGAACCAGTATAGGCCAGCAACTTTCAGTTGACAGGGAACAAAGGATGGTCAACTTCTGTGAATTCCTCACCAAAGAATCTCTGAACTTGGTATCTCTGCAAAGTATTAATTAATATGGATAAGGTTCTGATGTGTTTTGACATTCCAGCCACCAGGACTGTTTCGGATATGAAAGCTATCTATTACAACCACTGAACATGAGAAGGCTTGCTTCATTGCAGTCTTTGGTTGCACTGTGAGCGGAATGAAATTAAAGCCAATAGTGATTTTCGAGAAAGTAACCATGCCCTGTGATAAACTGCGCACCAGTTTTGTTGTTCGTTGTAATAAGAAGGGACTATGGTATTATGAAACTATTGGTAGATAAATATTATAGGACCAAGCAAGGGGATTCTGTTTGAAGTAGTCTTTACTAATTTTTGACACCATGGCTGCTCACAAAGAAAAAAAAAAAATCAAAATTATATTAACTTATGGGGGAGCTCTGGTAGCATAGTGCCTAAGGCACTTGACTGCTAACCAGAAGGCTGGTGGTTCAAACCCACTAGCCACTCCTTGGAAGGAAGATGGGGCAATATACTTCTGTAGTGATACTGCCTTGGAAACCCACGGAGGGGTCGCTATGAGTCTGGGCCGACTCGACGGCACATAACAACAACAACAACAACATGCCCATATAAGCAACTCTAGTGGCGCAGTGATTAACAGCTTGGCTGCTAACTGAAAGATCAGTGGTTGGAACTCATCAGACACTCTGCAGGAGAAATATGTGACAGTCTGCTTCCTCAAAGATTTATAGCCTTGAAAACCCTATAGACCAGTTCTACTTTGTCCTAAAGGGTCAATATGAGTTGGAATTGATTTGATGGTAGGTTTTTTTAGTTTGATGCTTTATATAGCAGTTATATCCTATGGCATTTCCTGCAAGCTACAGCTGTTAAATATAGTGGTCAACCACCCATTCAAGATTTTCATGAGAAGAGAGTGGGATGAATGGATGCAGTCTGGGATTTTTGAGTTCACACCATCAGGATGATTGAAGACAGCGACATTTAAAGAAGTCTGCAAGTTGGTGGCTTCTCCTTGGAGGAAAATCACTCCAGAAACCATCTGCAATGGATTCAGAAAGGCTGGGATTGTGTGCAAGCAGAATACTGATGGCGAAGATGAAGATGCTCAAGGCAGCCATGATGCTGACAACATGATTTCAGAAGTCACAGGAAAGCATTTACAGACAGCTTTCAGATATTTCAGTGCTGATAGTGATGAGGGCTCAGACATTTCTGGAACTTTAGGTTCTGGGAATCAGATGAAGAGATGATGATGATGATGATGATAATGAATTAACTGAAATGGCCTATTTTAAGATGAATATACAATTTCTTCTGGTGACATATTTGTTGTTTTAAAGGCATTGATTATCACAAATCATGTTTCAGTTTAAGATTTATGAAAGCAATAAAATCTAAATAGCATCTTGTAGTTTTAGGACTAGGATTTTTTTCCTGATTAATTTCTTCATGCAGTGGTACTCATTAGTTTCAACATGGTGTCTCATTTTCATCACAAGCCCATTCAGTTCACCATTGGTTACACTTGGTTTAGGAAAATACTTACCTTAGATGAAGTTTTCATGAGATCAGTTTTATCCTGGTTACCTTAAATTTTTTGGACAGAAAAGAAATTGGAATTGAAGTCAGTAACATGAAAAATATCAAGATAGTGCACTTATGAAAATAATGCACAAGGTTGGACAGTTTGTAAAAATGTTTAACAAGTGTTATTTGTGTAACAATATGATATATACATTTTCATGCTCTCTCTTTTTTATCCCATTGCATTTACATCGTTTTTCTTTGAAAGAAGCAGAATTTCTCTCTAATTTGTTTAATGCCATTCACTTCTTTGTATTTAATTGGTCCAGTGGTTTTCTTTACTTAAATTTAGCATTTATCAATCTTGCAACTAGCAATGCATGTGGTGGTATTAACAGAAAATTCCACAGGACCTTCCTCACACTAGGGAAGGGAAACATCTGTTACTTTCATATCAGGATGCCAGGATTTAGAGGTCAGTGTGTTTCCCCATCAAGGCTTAAGGCTTTGGGGATCAGTAGAGTGTCAAGCTCCAAGCAGCATAAAGAATGGCAGTTGCTGACTGGCGAGGTTTGCCTGTTCTCAACAGGGGATATTGCTGTTCAGCATAATGAGCTGGGGACTTAGTGTGCTAAACACACTCAGCTTGGGTAGTGAGACAGGGAGACAGGCTGTGCTTATTTTTTTTTTTCCCCTTTGGATCTGAACTGCATATTTGTCTTGGAAAAAATTATATTGAGATCGTCATTAGTGGAACCCAGCAGAGTTAAGGCTCCATGAGGGTTGATAAGCACTATGGTTAAAAAAAACCTTCAACCTCAGTGCACGAAGCTGAAGTAAACGTTTAAGTTGCCTGAACTGGAAAGAGCCTGAAGAGGTGATTATGTTAAGCAAGTAATGTGTATCAGAAACATAGAATCAAATTATTAGGGTCAGTAACTTCATGGCTTTCCCAGTGCATTAAATGAAGACATAACATTGCATTTGTGCTGGGTACTTTCTGACGCCAAGTAGTGTCAGCACTGTCCAGTCATCTGTACTTCACAGCATGTCACCTCTAATTTCATAGGATTATCTGCACTGTTGCTTTATTAGGGATTCATGATCTTGAGCCTCCTTTGAACTCCCAGCAGGGCAGTGCAAAGTCATTATTGTGAGCACTTCTGTGCTTTTTGTATTATATACAAAATTATTATGACCACCATTTAGAAAGGTAGATATATTCTGCTCTCATGCTTCCAAACATCTGTACTTATTTCCTGGTAAGGGTAGCCATTGAACGGGAAGCACCGGATGTGAAAGACATTTTGAGGACTCTTATTAGAAGGTCATGGAAGTATTACATAGGGGAAAAAAAAAAAAAAAAAACTAAACTCACTGCCCTCGAGTCAGAGATTGAGACCCAATTCATAGCAATCCCTCTTTGGGTTTCTGAGGCAGTATCACTAAAGAAATAGATAGCCCAATTTTCCTTCCACAGAGTGGCTGGTGGATTTGAACCACCAGCCTTCTAGTTAGCAGTCAAATGGCTTAGGTAGTAAGCACCAGAGCTCCTTCACATAGGACAGTGATTCTCAAAATGTAGTCTCCTGGCCAGCAGCATAGAATCTCCAGGAACTTGTTAGAAATGCAAACTCTGCTGAATCAGAACCTCTGAGGTCAGGCTCAGCAATCTGTGTTTTAACAACCCTTCCAGGTAATTCTGATGCAAGCTAAAGTTTGAGAAACACTGCTATAACATTTATTGAGCACAAGGATAGGATAGAGCCATATGTTCTTGGATTAGCCATAGACAAGACAGAATAAATATCTGCCCCTATGAACCTTATTAAATTACAAAGGAATATGTGGTAGTTTATTGTGTTGAAATGTTTATCCATACACAGCATTGCTTAAAATATTACATGCCTCATTATAGTCTACATTTGAATTACCCTGTTATCTTTCTTGGTTTCAGAAAGTGACTAACAAAAGATGACTAATAAGTGATTCTTTTGTGCATTTCAGAACCATCCCCCTTGCAATATGTATATCAATGGCCATTGTCACCACTGGCTATGTGCTAACAAATGTGGCCTACTTTACAACCATTAGCGCTGAAGAGCTGTTGCTTTCAAATGCAGTGGCAGTGGTAAGTCCAAGTTGGGAAAATGCCAATTTGAATTTAGGTTAATGAGTTGATGCAATTTTAAGTAGTCCCTCTAGCAGAAAGTATTTTGAAATTCAGTAATATTTTCTTGACCTGAATGATAAAGGATATTATAAAAATTAGAACTCAGCTTGGCATAGCCTATGCAACTGATACAGCTAAAATCCTATATGATTTCCCTGTATGGTTATTCCACTTACAACATTTTGGAAATTTGTCAAGGCCTGTTGAGTTCTAGGCATTAGTTTTCTAACATGTCTTTAAGGACAACCACAAATGATAAGACCTAATGAATATATATTTTGTTTCGTTTTTGTACATAAATTGTAATGTATTCTATACTCTGTTAGGAAACTTTCCAAATCTTAATTTAAAAAATTCTTTTTCCAAAGTAACACTTAAGAATTTCTAGCTTGACTGCATATATTTGTTTTTCCTTTTCAATACTAGTCCTGGGATAGTCATAAATTTGTATAATACTGAGTTATTCAAAGTTAAAAAGATGTCATTGTTATATTATTTCTCAGAATCCTAAATATGCTAATGTGTGTCTTTCAGCTCCTTAAAAGATAGATGCACAGAATTTTGTAGAATTTTTCAATATTTATTTGCCTATTTTCCTCCTAAAGGGGAGAAAAACCTCTTCCCTCAAAGATTGTTATGAGATCTTTATTCTGTGAGACATGTTTTTATTTGTATAAAAACTTAGCTAGTAAGAGAATATTCATTTGTGACCTCATAACAATGAAGGGTAAAAATTAACTTCCCAACAGTGAATGTCAGTTCTTTTAAAAATTGTCAGTATTGCCTCATATCAGCCGCCTCCCCAGTGAACACATTATCTCATTTTGTGTGAACCTATGTACAAGTTCACTGTATCAGAAGAGACTTTGCTCTGCTATGAATCTTACCAGACAATCAAACATCCAAACCTTACTGATGTTGGGTCAGTCATCTCACCTTATTAGACAAAGGGCAGCACTTCTTTTGGGCATAATGTGGTCTATTAATTGCATAGCATCAGCAGTGTCAAGGACAGCTAAGAAAACCTACATATATTTTGGAAAAAATTATCTTTCATGGAAAGTTGCAATGTTACACTTAACTGTTTTGGTTACTTTGTGCTTCTCTAACAGAAAATTCCACAAATAGGTAGCTTTAACAAACGAGAGTTTATTCTCTTACAGTTTAGGAAGCTAGAAGTCCAAGTTCAAAGTGCTAAGCTCCATGGGCTGGGTGAAGGCCCCTCAACCTTAGGCTTCAGCTCTGCTTCTTTCTCCCAACCCACTGAAGCTAGAGGCTTCTCTTAATTCAGACAGTTGGTAACTGCTGAGGCTGACAAACCCAAGCTTGACAAAATGATACAGTCCCAAGATTATCAAACAGCATGGCAGGCAACTGCTCCAACACCATAGATACTCCCAAGATGGGCATACAACATTGCAGGCCACCTACAGATGACTCGGTCAAATGCAGGATCAAGAGCGTCAAGAAGCTGAAGAAACCTTTCTCAATGGTTCTTCTTATATACTAGAAACAGACCACAACCCTAAGGCAGCTACCCACCTTTTCCAGTGGATTCCACTGTGGAGTTGATTACCAGTCTCATCACGGGAAGTAACTACATCTAGTTGCCCAGCTACTCAAAACCAGGCCCAGCCAAGCTGACACTTAAGATTTCAAAAAGTTTATTTCTCTTATATTTTCTGTGGTTCAATTTTCTTGGGCTAGTGTTTGTGTTCTTGCTTTTTTATAAGAACCCACAGAATGTATGGACAGATAGTTAACAGGGAGGGAGTGACTCAGTAAAAAGAAATTCTTCTGATATGATTTTTGTGGGGAAAAGATTTTCACAGCTGCTCAAACATAGGATCTAAGTGAGTAAGTCATCAATAATTTTTCCACACTTTTCATGTCTTAAAAGTGGCCTTGGTCGATTCCTTCAAAAGTTGGAAATACAAATACCATTTGACCCAGCCATCCCATTACTGGGTATATACCCTAAAGAAGTCAGAGCCATAACAAGAACAGATACATGCACGCCGATGTTCATCGCAGCACTATTTATAATAGCCAAAACTTGGAAACAACCTAGATGTCCAACAACTGAGGAATGGATAACCAAACTTTGGTACATTCACACAATGGAATACTATGCAATGTTAAAGAATAATGTAGAATCTTCAAAACACCGCATAATGTGGATGAACTTGGAGGACATTATGCTGAGTGAAATAAGTCAGTCACAAAAGGACAAATATTGTATTAGTCCATTATTGTAAAAGTTAAGGAAAGGTTTATATATTGGAGGACATTTTCTTTGTTGGTTACCAGGGGTGGGAGGGGAGGGGAGGGAATGCTGTTAGATAGATAGAGATAAATATTGATTTGGGTGAAGAGAAGGGCAATGTACCAAGTGTGAGTGACCAATATGGCAGCATTGAGGATGAGAAAGACATAGAGAGTTACATGGGCAGTACAGACAACAAATATGAACCCTTTTGCATATACAGTACTGAGTTGTCAGTGAAAGCAAACATGGGTATAGGGACGGATAGATAGGTGAACAAGCTAAACAATTAGGTATGTCTAAATGGAGAGTGTATCCAAGATCATATATAGGGTTGGCAGACAATGGGCCCATAAGTTCATGTGAATGATCAGAATTCCCAGGTGTATAGTAGAGCTGACAAGGGGCAAGGTTATGGTCATTGCTTGGTCACAGCCAGCTACCCAGAGGGACCGAGTAGTTGATCCTGCGGGCTTGGGACCATAGTCGCAAGGGACATCAAGCTCAATTGGCATAACATACTATACAAAACATTGTTCCACCTACTACTTTGACGAGTAGTGACTGGGACCTTAAAAGCTAGGAAGCTGCCATCTAGATGCAACAATGGGTCTCTCCTCGTCAAGAAGAAAGAAGAAAACCAAAATTAATGGAAACAGTCAGTCCTAGCGACTGGTACACCATCCGATCTGCAACCTATACAACTATGAGACCAGAAGAACTAGATGGTGCCCAGCTACCACTGCCATCCACTTGGAAGGGATGTAGGAGATCCTGCATAAAGAGGGAGAACAATGTGGTACAAACTCAAAATCATTTGGAGGCAAAAAAAAAAAAAGAAGGTGGGGACCAGGTTTGCTGGTCCAATAGGGCCTGGTGTAACCACTGAGACTATGGCCCCTAGCTGCCCTTCAGGTCTGGAATTGAACCCACAACTGTGGTTTCCAGCCAAACAAAATACAGGCATGTGAGTTAAACATTTACCTCAAGTAGACACACGACCTAGAGAGAACAATCATGGGAGAAGGAAGGGCTGCTTATGCACAGGGAGATAGCTCAGGGTGCAGAAGAGTATGAAGGGATGGACACTGGGAGGAGGTAACTATGGGGAGGAAGTGGGAGGGGAGCTGCTGCATTGTAAATTTTGATCAATGACATGAGACAAAGTATATGTGAACTGCTGTATGAAAAGTGAATTTACTCTGTAAATCTTCACCCAAATCCTAAAAAAAAAAAAAAAAAAAGTGGCCTTGGTGTGTGAAACAAGTATATGTAATACTTTTCTGTATATGTTTGTACTTCACTATAAAAATGCAGCCTTCTAGGCTAAAAAGAAATTATTGTACAGAAGGATTTCTGTCTCCAAAAGTAAAACTTGTGATTGAGCTATTTCTACCTACCAGAGGCAGAGAAGATAACATGTTGATAAGGATTCAGTAAATGGATCATTGCTTCTTTGGAAGTAGAGAGAAGGTACAAGTTTAGACCTTTGCCCATAGTTTTACAACAAGCAATGTCATGGTTCCAACTTAGTATTAGTCTGCAGAGTTGGGCTGACCCTAACCAAAGAAAGGGATTATAAAACAAACACATATTGCCAGGCTAATAGAAAACCACAGAGCAAGTTTGTTCTAAATGGTTTCATTTTATTTCACTTTCCGGAAAGGCATTAATTTGCTTCGTTCTGTCTTTCACTAGACCTTTTCCGAGCGGTTACTGGGAAATTTCTCATTAGCAGTTCCGATCTTTGTTGCCCTCTCCTGCTTTGGCTCCATGAATGGTGGTGTGTTTGCTGTCTCCAGGTGAGTGAGTTCAAGTATTTCCAGAAAAACATTTTTGTTTCTGAGATTGGATGTGATAAGGATAGCTTGAAAAAGAAAAGAAATTGTGCTTACAAAGCTGTTGTTTTTAAAGAGGCATGCAAGATTGAAATCTTCCTCCGATGATCAAAAAACATGTCTTATTTTGCCCAGCAGAGGGCAATGCTTGCCTATTCAAAGCCCATTATGAAGGTAGGAATGTGGGAGTTTTATTTTTTTATAGTATGTCTATAGAGTCTAACAACAGCATTTTATTTCTGGTGATAAAATCTTTTGTTTCTCTAAAGGTGACAAGAAAAAAAATAAAGTAAGATACATCAGAAATCACCACTACGTCATCTGTATCCCCTTTCTCTTGATTGATGCAAGGGTCCCTTTTGTTTTAATATGACATGATTAAAACCCAATAAGATAAATATTAATGTTATGTATCCTTGTGTGTGTGCATGCATATGCACATATGTGTATAGATACGGATGTGTGTGTATGCATATATATTTGACTGATACACACGTAGATACAATAGTAGGAATACAGAACTTAATTCATCATCAATTGTTTATATGCATTTATATGTAGGGAGAGTGATTCCTATTGAGACATTGTTATTGTTTTTCCTCAAAGTAAAACATAATGTTTTGGCAGATTTTGTAAAATTTAAGTCATATTTCTCATGATGTTCTCTAACTTATCTGAAATATTCAACATAAATAATTGCCTAGGAAATCGTAGACTATTTGGTGTGGATATGATGTGAATTTTCTCTTGGATTTCTGGATTTTCCCTTTGAAATGATCAATTGTACAGTCAACTCCACCCACATTTTTCTCCCATCAGGTTATTCTATGTTGCGTCTCGAGAGGGTCACCTTCCAGAAATCCTCTCCATGATTCATGTCCGCAAGCACACTCCTCTGCCAGCTGTTATTGTTTTGGTAATGAACATTAACAAGTATACCTAGATATAAGCTCAAACAATAGTTTGGCAAACAGGAATTTAAACCAGACTTCGGATAATGCTTACTTTCTCATTTACTGCTAAATAGACTTTATGTGGAATGCAGGGAAGATTATGGAGGCAGGATATTTTTCATCCCTCCCTTTCCCTCAACTCAGTGTTTCTGATGTGTATTTGATGCTTTAGGGCAATAACTGTATTACTTCTGTACACTTTCGTAGGAATTTGTATGGTCTGAGGAAAATGATTAGCTTGGCCCCTGTCATTGACACAGAGCCTCAGAGAAAAGGATGTAGAGTAGTAAGTCCCAATTTAACTTATTGAAAGTAGAGCTAAAAGCTTCTGTCCAAAAACACCCAAATGCCTCATCATAGTTTCTTCTGATGAAATGCACAAAGAAAATTATACAAAGAATCAATATAATCCTATATAGTGTGGTGATTCCATGATTAAAAGTGAGACATTTCAGAGCAGCCCTAAAGGGAAGAAATAAAAGCACAAACCTTAAATTTGAGTTGTAGAATTCTTTATGCAGGGAAAAGTATTTGTGAAATGTGGCATTCAAAAGATGGTGTAAGGTGTAAAAGTCCTCAAATACCCATTGGCAATGTTATATTCATTTCTAAGTACAATTTTGTAACATTTTTTTCTCAACTGGAATCTGCTGTCAGGCACACCACAAAATGCATTGACCATTTTTTTTTTTCCCGTGCATTTAATTTTCTTCACACTTTTTTTTCCCAAAAATTCTTTCTTAAAGTACGTGTACTCTCTGTGCAGAATCTTGAAGTTAATGTCACTTGTGGGAACAGAATGTATTGTTCTGTGAAGAGGGCTTTCATGTTAAGCTTCTGCTATCAGTCATGCTGTCCTTGGCATGTGCAGCTGCAGAGACTTGCTCTGCTGATCTCTGTACTTTATTCTTTTCAGGGTCTTGAGGGTCACACATGGCAAGCACATGGGGAGACTAAGAGGAGAGGAAGGAAAAGTCTGTATTTTGCTTTCAGGAGCAAAAAGAGTCATATAGATGTGCCTGTGTTTCGTGTGTGTGTGTGTGTGTGTGTGTGTATAATTAAGAGCATGTGCAGAGCTTTCTCAGAATTTTCCAATTGGGCATGCTTTTAATCTTTTGTTGTTTTTGTTAGGCGCCATTGAATCTACTCTGACTCCTAGTGATCATAAGCACAACAGAGCAAAACACTGCCCAGACCTGCACCATTCTCACAACTGCTGCTTTAATCTTTATTATTAGTTATTTAGTCATCATTTTAGTTTCTGAGTCTTTAAATTTGAGGGCATTGAGTCTTATGTATTTTACTCTTTGAGAATGTATCATCTTCTCTCAATTATAAAGGTATCTAACACCAAAATACCCATATGATTTCCATTTGGATTTGGGATAATGGTGATAGTACTCTCATACTGTTACTTCTGTGTAAAGGGGTGATCAAAGCATAATGTAGTAAGGAGGTTAGTTGAATCTAGATTTCTAGTTCTTTGGTATAAGTGATCATTTAAAAAATGAAAATAATACATGTAGTATGGAACTCAGGTAGCACAATGCCTAAGGCTTCTGAGTACTAATCAGAAGTTTGGTGGTAGTTCAACCCACCAGCCACTCTGCAGAAGCAAGACTGGGCAATCTACTTCTGTAAAGATTTACTGCCTTGGAAACCCAATGGGAGTCTCTATGAGTCAGAATTGACTTGATGGCAGTGGATTAGGTTTTGGTTTTGTTTTTATATGTAGTATTGTTATTGCTTGTCATGTGCTTGTGTTCCTTTAATTCACTGAGCTTGGATTTTTACCCCCTTCCACAGCACCCTTTGACGATGATAATGCTCTTCTCTGCAGACCTCTACAGTCTTTTGAATTTCCTCAGTTTTGCCAGGTGGCTTTTTATTGGGCTGGCAGTTGCTGGCCTGATTTATCTTCGATACAAACGCCCAGATATGCACCGTCCTTTCAAGGTAACCTCAGCAATCTTGATGGGTTTACATAAATCTTTCTGCAAGTACCTATGCCTCCTTTTGTCATACTTGATGATGGGAAGGTTGGGCAGGGGATAGCATCTTCTGGAATAAAATATTTAACTCTTGTAGGTGGTACCTTCATATTAGATTTATTTCAGCTTGGAAAAAATATTTCATCTTATTTTTTCTGTGATATACTGACCTGTGTGACATTTTTGAAAAGAGTTAAAGGATGTTTGATATGTTGATTTTTCACGAACATGTCCAATGGCTTGATGTGTTCAAAGACGAGACACTTCTATTTATCTATATACTGAATAGTTGTATAGAGCCGTGCTCAAAAAGCAAGAAGCAGATATGAAACTGTCACTAATTAAAACTCTAAAAAGGATGCTGTACTTATGTATTTTTAAATGTTATGACTCATTACACTGCTTAAGGTCTCCTCTTCTACATCAGACACTCTAAAAGGAATAAAAATGTAAAATGTACAGAGAAAGGGAAGATCTATGAGTTCACTGTTTAATAGGATGTTCATTTACCATATCTAAGAATTTCCTATTGGGAAGGCTGAAGAATATGTTCATCTCCTTTACCCTTGGGTGTTTATAGGTTTTGTTTGACCTCATCTTTTAAGAAATAACACAGATACCTTTGTCAGTCATGTTTTCAGAAATTGTTTCTAATTATATTCATTGCCTAATGCTGGCAACATCTTTATTAGTGGTCGAATAGGAGTTGGCCTGTTTTATTCCTGTCAGTTCTTATTGTGAATCTTCTACAGAAAATCAATAGGCACTGAAAGGCTTTAACACATAACAAGCAACTTGTGCTCTTGACTCTACATTAAAGTGGATTCTAATCATAATTATCAAGGAGCCAACCTCTTAAAATCAAAAGTATAAATCACAATGGTACTTAACTAGTAAAAGAATTCAAACAAAATTTCTAATGAAATACCCTTCCTTATCTTTAGATTTTGTAACATTCAAAGACTTAAAAAAAATCTAAGGGATTATTTTTAATGAATCCTCTGTGTTCCGTTAAAGTGCATTTGCTACTAGGGTAAGGTAGGAGGGTGCCTGCCACCTGGGCACATGGCTAAAGTGTATGAATTTATCACATGGTTGAAGTGCCCACCTTCACTCCACATTCTGTCTCTGGAACTGGTTTTGAAGTGATTCTTTTCTTTGTTGTTTTCCAGGTGCCCCTGTTCATCCCAACATTGTTTTCTTTCACGTGTTTCTTCGTGGTGGCCCTTTCCTTTTATGCGGATCCTTTTAGCACAGGAATTGGCTTTGTCATCACTCTGACTGGGGTCCCCGCATACTATCTCTTTATTATATGGGACAGGAAACCCCGGTGGTTTAGAAGAATGTCAGGTAAGAGTCTTTATGTACTTTCAGGACTTTCTGAGAGAACCCGTACATATGTACCGATATAACATGGACATCTTAAAGTTTTAAAAAGTACAATTGGGACAATAGCTAATTTGAATACATTATTGCATTTTAATTGGAACTTGGAGAAGAAATGGAGGAAAGGATGTTTAGTGTATAAAACTGAATTCCTTTCAGAATATTTAGTTTACGCTGTTCAATACGCTGTTCAAGTAATTTCTTGGGAGAACAATTTTTTTTTGATATAATTTTATCATCAGTTATGGAAAGAACCTAATTGTGCTTTTGAATCTCTTACTAGCCTGTTTTTTTTTTTTTTATTTTGGGTTGAATGCTGTTTAGGGACTCTATAGCATAGAATATAACGTTAATAGTGGCATGAGGTTTGATAAGGAGTTACCCAGATGTCTGCAAAGGTCTAAGTATCATGATTATAATATTAGCTTAATGGAAGTGGTGAGTCACAGAAGGGTCATAATAGGAAGAACAATGAAGAGAAGAATAACAGCTCACATTTATTGTGTGATTTCTTTGTGTTAGCACATGTATACTCTTATTTAATCCTTCTGACATAGGAAAAAAGAATCGTCCCCTTTTCATAGATTTTGAGTTACAGCATGGGAGAATTCACTTAACTTGCCCCCCACACAGATAATAAGTAAAAGAGCTAGAATTCAAAGACAGGCAGTTTTTTATTCTAGAAAAAACACTCTGGGTGCAGTGAGGATGGATTAGAAAGAAAATGGTTGTTGAAGACATTGACTGCAGTTTGGTGGTTACCACAGTGATCCTGAGGAAAGTTGAGGAGGATCTGCATGCAGGTCCTAGAGAAAGTGAAAAATATTGAAGATGAAAAACCAACAGGACTTTGGTGACCAGTTAAACTGGGAAAAGGAAACAAATGATAGATCAGTAGTTAGGAAGGGGTGTTTGTGAATAATCTCTGTTAAAACCCCAAGCCTCTGTCAAATACTCTGCTGAGTCTTTTCCCCATCACATTCAGTCCTTATTAGGATCTGTGTGTGAGGTGGTGCAATTCCCATACACAGATGATGAAACGAGAGTTCATGGAGATGGAAATATTATGTTCAGTGCATAGGCTTTAAACCATAGAGTAATGATTTAAACCCCGTCTTCTGGAAGTCAAAATTTATGTTCTTTTATGTTCTTTATTTTTGAGTACCCAGTAGAAGAGAGAGGTAAAAAGTACAGCCAGAGAAGCCTAAATGTTCTAGCTATCAGTTTAGAATGTAACTTGTGTTTCTCCTGTGCTTTAATTTAATTAATTTACCATAATTAATTTTACATAGCCTGTTGTTGTTTAGCCAAGTAAAAAGTTTGGGGAGATTTCTGGTAAATTTATTAATAAAAAACTTAGTGTTACAAAAAAAGAAAGACAATACTTGGTTTATATACTGAATCACAAATGTGTTACAAAAACTCATTTAGAAGCCAGTCATTTAGAGTAGTTTTGCTACTACTCTTTGCTCGCTTTTAATTAGAATTTGGTATCTTCAGACCTTATACTACTATTTATACCTGGATTTTATTTTCTAGCTGGCAACACTATTCCCCAAAGAAGAATTAGTATACATGTTAGATTCTTTAGGGCTAAGGTAGACATGAAGGTTGGGCAATCCTACTTCCATAGTGATACTGCCTCGGAAACCCAAGGAGGGGTCACTATGAGTCGGGACCGACTGGACGGCAAATAACAACGACAACAATGTAGACATACTGATTGACGAATAGATAATTGAATCTCTGTTTCTTATTAGGTCAGATGGGATATTTTTAGTTATATTATTTTTTCTTCTTTTATATGCACTAAAATAGAGTCTTTTTTGGGGGCGACAGGTGTCTTTTTAAACAATATTTACCATTAAGATGGCTTTACTAATTGCCAAGGTTTAGAACATATTAGTGTTCAGCGTTGTGAGTTAAAGCCCCAGAGCACCAAGGGAAATCAAGATAATTAAGAAAGAAAGAATGGTTAGCCCAAGAATTGGACAAGAATGAGAAGGGGCAAAAAGAAAGTACAAATTCACTGTTCTACCACATTTTGTAGGCATTTCGTTCTTCCTGTTTGTGGTGAGCCAAACATAAAAATTCTCTCCTTTTGCTCACATGTATATGCTTTGTACCATTTGTCAATGTAGACCGATCAGCAGTTTTCATGCTTGATCTTATTTTGATGTCTTTTCATGCTCATGTCATTTAATTTAATTTTGTTTGTTTCTTTGTTATTTTTCTGTCTCTAATGATGTTCTGAACTTCTATAAGGCTTCCAAATTTAGTATTGGCCATTTGTGAAAGCTAACAGCAATGTAGTAGTCCCATAATGGTTATTTGGTTCTCAGAAACACCATTAGGTTTTACCAGGGAGCATAACAATTTTGCCTTTAAACTACATCATTGTAACTCTTTGTCTTTATAGTTGCCTTGCAAGTGAGTAGCAAAAAGCAACAATTCTCCATAATTTTGTTTGACTTTCCTTAGGCAGCATTCTTGTACTAAAATAAAGAAAATATTTATTGCTGCAGTAGAAGTATTTTCCTAGTGTTTAACCAAAACAAAGCACTCATACATAGACATGTAAAACAGTGATCCCCATAGACTCCTGAACTATGCTTTGCCTGTACCCCCTACTACCTGTTTGTTGTTAGAGAGAAACTCAGTGTGAACTTGGAGGCAAAGAGATCCTTTGCTTAGAGGAGTTTGCTCAGTGGTTTCACACCATATTGTTTTTGTTAGTAAAATTCTTTAGTCTTTATTTTATCATTTATTTTTACCCAAAGATACTTGAGCAGATTAGCTCTTTGAAAATGATAAATCTATGAAAATGCATCTTACCTAGGGGGCTTCCATGAAGAAGGAGGGGTGACCCGACAGGAGATGGTATAAACTGCTTTGTACCGATAGTCAGGGAATGTTCTGAACCAAAAGTCTGAGGTTTTTCAGAGATATGATGATGAATTTCTGTGGCCACAGGATGCCAGTATTGAACCATGTTTTGTTTGATAGTGTTCCTAGGTTGAAAAGAAAATGTACTCTTAAGGGAATAGTTAGACACACAGAAAGCTTTTTTCTTCTTCTTCTTCTTTTTTCCTGCCATCTGTGACAGAGTGGTTAATTCTTCTGGTGATTTATTTATTTATTTTTTAGAAACAGGAGCTTTTCATGCAAGGCAAGGGAGGAAGATGCCCCACTGACAGATTCAAGTACACGGAGGTAGCAAACCCCAGCAAACTCCAGCCTGGCCTTCTGTTCTACTTGGCTGCCACTATTTTCCAGCCAAATATTGAAGGCAGAGAGTGAAAGGGGCAGCTGGAAGTTGGCCTATCTTTCTAAGAGAGAAATAGGAAGGAGAAAATTATTTAAATAAAATTTTTGTTTATGAAAATAATGCCAGACAACATGAGCTGAATGACTACAATGCCTTTTTGTGGACAGTTATTTTGCAGCCTTCACAGATACATCACTGAAAACCAGCTAATGGATAGAATAGGTGTTTCATGAAGACTACATTTTTTTTTTTTTTAACTAATCAAAGGTACTTACATTTTTTTTAGGGACCCAAACTATCTTCATTATCAGGATAGCACAAGATCATGCATGTGAAAAGGTTTTGAATCCTTAGGGGGTGGGAAAAAATTGCTATTCTTATTCTTATTATGTCTTCCTGACAGCTTGGCTTTGTGCTAATGCTTCACAACTTTTTCAGTTTTAGCTACAGTTCCTGCCCTAGTATCAGGTGTGGTTGGGTAAAACCAGTATTGCAAGTCCAGTCATTGCAACTTATTTCATGGACAGCTGCTACTAAACATGAAAGATAAAGCTAAAAAGAACAATATTGCAATTTGGTCTTATAGCCTACACCAAATGCAGACTTATCAGCTCAAAGATACATATCTAAAGAAATACCATCATAAGATTGATTGTCCCCAAAGCTGGAAGCCTTATGTGAGCATGGATGTAGGCATGGCATAAATAATCTGCAGTTTACCCAGGCAAGCTGGAAGCTGCCTGAGAGGTTTACTTGGCTCTGTTGAGCACCTTTGTCTGAGGGCACTATTGTACATATCCTAGAATAAAAAGTTGGGGTGGCTCCAAGGATTACTTACTGTCAAAATTAGTCACCCTGATTGTGATGACAAACCTCCGTTGTGATGACAATTATTCAAATCATAAGATCCCAAGGTGGGGGCAAACTCACTGCTATCAAGTTGATTCAACTCCTAGTGACCCTCCCTTGGGTTTCCATGGTGGTATCTCAACAGAAGTAGATTGCCCAATCTTCCTCCTGAGGAGTGACTGGTGGGCTTGAACCGCCAGCCTTCTGGTTAGCAGTCAAATGCCTTAGGTGCTACACCACCAGAGCTCCCAAGATCCCAAAATTCCAAAAGAGAACATAAATAAACCCCAGGGAAGACTATGAACAGGGCATGGACCATGGAGAAAGAGGAAGAGCTGGATGTATAGTGCCAGAAGACGAAGACAGGTTTCTTGGCCTATATCTGCTGCTAAATACAGAGTCCAGATTGAGCTTTTAGAGAGGAAAATAACACTCTAGGAAAGTGAGAGGATCTAAGTTGCTCTGTGTTTGTCAGGAACTTATGCACTAGTGGGAAATGGAGAAGCAAGATGTCTATGAAAGCAAAGGGCTGAGGGTCCCAGAATAGAGAAAAGTGCTTTGGAAATGATTTTGGTGTTAGGCATGGAGGATCAGATGTTGCCTAAGGAAAACAGTCATGGAGATAGTTCAGGAGGCTGTGGCAGGACCTCTCTAGGTAGGAAGTACTAGTGAGGGTGTCTTTTTAATCCTACTGCTTTGCATTCAACCGTGGATGATGCATAAGACCACCTATTATTCAACCTGCCTATTAGGTAGCTCATTTTACTTGGATCCACAGTCAACACCCATGGAAACAGGAGTCAGAAAATCAAATGTTGTATTACACTGAGAACATTTGCTGCAAAAGATCTATTTAAAGTGTTAAGAAGCAAAGACGTCACTTTGAAGACTAAGGTGCCTCATCCTGACACAAACCATGATATTTTCAATCGCCTCATGTGCATGTGAAAGCTGAACAATAAATAAGGAAGACTGAAGAAGAGTTGATGCCTTTCAATTGTGGTTTTGATGAAGAATACTGAAAATTGCACAGACTACCAGAAGAAACAAATTTGTCTCCGAAGAAGCACAGCCGGAATGCTTCTTGAAAACAAGAATGGCCAGACTTTGTCTTACCTATTTTAGTCATGTTGTCAGAAGGGACCATTCTCTGGAGAAGGATATAATGCATGGTAAAATGGATGGTCAATGACAAAGGGGAAGTCCATCAGCAAGATGGATTGTGACGTGGCTGCAATGGTGGGCTCAAGCACAGCAAGGATTGTGAGGATGGTGCAGGACCGGGCAGTGTTTCTTTCTGCTGTACAGAGGGTTGCTATAAGTCAGAGGTGACTCAGTGGCACCTAACAACAAAAACAGCAACATCAGGTAGCTCTAGCTCCTTTTCCTACAGAAACCAAATCTTTCTTATCATTGATTGATACTTAACTTTTCCCTTCAAAGTCTATTTTAATGGCTTGATTTTAGCACTTCCCTTTTCTCTAAACATGGACTTTAATTGCACTTAATTGTTCCCTTGTGCTCCACTTACACCTCAATGTGAAGAGTGGGCTGTGACAAAATACAGTTCTTTAAGGAACATTTACATAAAGCTTACCATTTTCTAGTACTATTCTGAGTCCTTTATAATTAATGTATGTTATAAAAACTAGTGTGCCAAGGAAAGCCACCTTGAGGAACACTGCTTTAAAGGATGAAAAATACAATTTTTTTAGGGACATTGAATATTGTTTTGAAGAGGCTATCATAGATGACAAGTCATAAATGAGGAGGTAGACTTTATGCCTGAGTGACAGATGATCTGGGTCTAACACCATCCTGAGGATAAACTCTGGGATGCTCCAGGGCCAGCAGAAGTGTGAAGTTCTATAGGTAAGAGGTAAATAAGAACTAGCATACCCGGAAACCAGGCTCACAGAATTCTAGGACTGAGGAGATAAAATGATCTAAGATTATTCCAGTCCAGTGCTTCTTCCACTTCAGTGCGTATCAGAATCACAGATTGCTGGCCCCCACCGTCGTGTTGCTTAAGATAAAGCTGGAAAGTTGGTATTAGTAATGTCTCAACTAATCCAGTGTTGTGGTTCCAGGGAGAACCTTTGAGGACCACTTTAAGAACTGTTGACCTAGCCTTAGCCACTCATTTTACAAATGAGTCCTCAGGAAATAAGAATATTTCTCAACAGTACACTACATATTAGAGACTAGAAATGGAATTCTGAATCTGCTTTTGACTCTTTTGAGGAATTTATTGTGACCCCATAGGTGCAAAAACAATAAACTAACTTTAATTTGAATAAACTCACTGTTACCAAGTCGATTCTGACTCACAGCAACCCCCTTTGGATTCCCAATGCTGTAAATCTTTATGGAACCAGACTACCTCATCTTTATTCCACAGAGCACCATTTGGTTAGCAGTCAAATGCCTTAGCCACTATACCACCAGAGCTCTTTTTAAATTGAATATAAAGTTATTTTTGAAATTTATTTATAGATTTTTAAAATAATACTTAAATTAGCTCAACATATTTTCAGTACCTTGGATCATGAATAAAATTCTTTATTTGTATATAAAATATTAATATATTCTTGATGAGAAGTCATCATGTGAAGTTACAGAAGTGATGAATAAATTAATTGAGCGTGAAAGAATTCTAATAAAGTAAATAATTCTTGAATGTGCTCAGTGAAATAGGTGGTTGTATATTTTCAGTATTCAAACCAAAATAATTCCTATTTTGCTGTTTTTCTGCTTTTCTCATTTCTGTGCATTTCTAAAGTGTCTTCTTTATTTTTTTTATAGACAGAATAACCAGAACATTACAAATAATACTGGAAGTTGTACCAGAAGAAGATTGTCATAAATTGTGAACTCATGCATTCCAAATCTGAGCAACCTGGCCTTGATTCTGCTCCAGAGCTGAAACACAATATGGACATTTGTGTCATTTTCTTGAAATCCAGAGAATTTCAAACTTTGCTGATGGACTAAAGAAGTCAGTTATTCCTATCTATATCTTATAGTGTATTCAAGTTGGTTTCTAAGATTGGTATAACAATGTATAGCTATAGAAAGCTGATATGCAACTGTACCATAAGTTCGTAAAAGTGTTGAGAGTCTCTGATGTCTGCATGTTGGGGTTAGGGAAGAAACTGGGGACAATCATTTTAGTGGTCATTTTATCACCGCTAAGAAACTTCAAATTGAAGACTGAGATACATTTTGTATACATGCGTTCATAAAAATGGTTTTATGTACTGTAGATAGCTATACTGTGAACAATGCTTTCTATTCTTCTGAGAGGAAAAGCCTTAAGTCATCATTATGGCAAGAAAAAAAGAAAGAAATTTACTTTACATTGACATTACAATATTTCTGTTATACAGACACACCAACATAGATATCACTTATCTTTTTAATGGGTTATACTCAGAGTATTTTAAAGAATGAGGGGAGGGAAAATACCTAGTTCTCTTGAACATATTAAATAAGAGTCTCTAGGAACTACTATTTATGAGAGAAATCTAGGAAATGGGCTTACGTAAAAATCCTTGGATTTTTTTTATAATCTAGTATATATATTTTCATAAATTATCAGAACTCCATGGTTATTTGCCATTTTGTTTTCATGTCAGTAAATTGGATTAGGGAAGGCTATAACACTACGTCTTTTTCAAGAGAAATAGTCTGATTGGTATTAAATCTTCTTTAGAAAAATACCTGCTTACTAATAAATTTATCACTTGATAAATATATCTAAATATGTACATTTTTAAATCTTTAAATTTCAATGTTAGCATGAGAAAAATCACAAGAAAGACAGTGTCCAAAATATGTCTATCGTGATCTATTTTCGATGTTGGCAAGTCTGATGTACACTTTTTAAAATTTCATAGCTATTTTTACATGGAGATGAATTTTGACAGTTTGAACATTTCATTTATGCATTTTATACTCTGTTAAAATATCTGTTCAGATATTACTGTCCAGATCAATTAGGAAAAGGCATATATTTACATAAATATTGAGAAAGAAATGTCACAGCTAAATAAGATTTACAAGTGAGGCTTCTAAAAATTTTCCGTATCCTTATCTAGTCTTTGTCAGTAATTTCCACACCTTAATTATCATTCAACTTGCAAAACAGGTAACTGATAAAAATTCATTGGAAGAAGGAGAAATAGTGTATGAGTATGTATCTTTAGACCAGCATTTTTATGTGAAGATTAGAATATATTGTAGAATTTAAAAATGAAAGTAAGAGAATGATGACATTGGTTAGTTATTATTTATATACATCTAAGATTAAATGTTTAGTTATTGCCAGAGTCTGTTTTATCCTTTAATTTCTGTCCATTTGAAAATGAGAATTTTTTTTTAATTTCACTGATTAAAATTATTCAGAGTAGTTATAGAGTTCAGAGACAAATGCCCAAATTTGAAATGTTGATTTACAAATCATCATTTTTATTTTGAGTTAACTTCATTTCCCTAATTTTAATTTTTACACTGAAAATATTATATATATATGTATATATATATATATATATATCTCCAAGTTTTTTTTTTTGTTGTTGTTGTTCTTGTTTTTCTGGTCAAACCTAGCACTCATGCCTCTGAATTCAGAAAAAAGTGCCTTATTTTATCTCTTGGTATATGGTTTTTCCAAATTTGTCTATAGTCCTGTTTCATGTATTCATAGTTCCTTTGTCTACATCTCTCCCTAGTACATGTTGCTAGAGGTAAAAATCTATTTCTTTTATATCATATTTTTTCTACCATCTAGTGCTTTGTGGAGAGGCTCTGGTGGCATAGTGCCTAAGGCACTTGACTGCTAACCACAAGACTGGCAGTTCAAACCCACCAGACACTCCTTGGAAGGAAGATTGGGCAACGTACTTCGGTAGTGATACTGCCTTGGACTCAAACAGGAGTTGCTATGAGTAGGATCTGCCTCAATGGCAGTGAGTTTGAGGGCTATGTTTGTTTTTTTGGTTTTAAGGCTATGTTAAGGAGTTCTGGTGGCATAGTGGATAAGGCATTTGGCTGCTAATTAGAAGTTCAGCAGTTCAAACCCACCAGCTGCTCCACGGAAGGAAGATGGGGTGCTGTACTTCCATAAAGATTTACAGCCTAGGAAACTTAGTAGGTGTTGCTGAGTCTGAATTGACTCAATGGCAGTAAGTTTAGTTTTCAGGGCTTTGTTATGTAAACAAGCTAACTCTTCTTGAGATTTTTCATGCTTAATGATGGCACATAACAACAACAAAAGAATGCAAACTAGGGTAAAGTCTTGTTGAGAGGTTTGTGTATTCCTTGATTATTCCTGAGGTTAATGTATTTATATTGACAGTGAAAAATGGGTCTTATTATTTTAGTATTTTAAGTTTTGGTTTCTAACATCTCTTTAAGGAGTTCTGGTGGTGCAGTAATTGAGCAGTAGGCTGCTAAACAAAACATCAGTGGTTGAACCCACCAGTTGCTCCATGGGAGAAAGATGTGGCGTCTGCTTCCATAGAGATTTCAGCCTTAAAAACCTTATGGGGCCATTCTACTCTGCCCTATAGGGTCACTGAGTTGGAATTAAATTGATGGTAATGTTCTGCTATTTTTTTTAATATCTCTTTGCATCTTTATCATTGTGCATATTAACCAGACTATATATTAAATAACCTTTTCACCAAATTAAAAAAATGATTTTTACATTGTTAAATTTCTAATGCTGTTGTAACCAGCCAGAAATCCAATCAGTAATTTGAAAAGAAAGTGGTGGAGATTAGTTGAGATTAAATCAGTGATTCTCCTTATTTTTAGGACATATAATGACAAGACACAGGGTTATATAACCAGGGAATCCATATTCATAATTCTGGTTAATAATGGTAGCAATAGAGCATATGGTATCGTGCCTAAGGTATTTGACTGCTAGCCAGAAGGCTGGAGGTTCAAACCCACCAACCACTGCTCGGAAGGAAGATGGGGCAATCTTCTTCCGTAGTGATACTGCCTTGGAAACCCAAGGAGGTTCGCTATGAGTCGGCTCCAACTCCACGGCAGTGAGTTTGGTTTGGTTTGGTTAGAGCATATTCTAGTTCAAAAACCCTCCTGTACAGTTTCATATATGTGTACATTTTTATAGTAAATGTTTTTCTTACACATTTAGATAGATACATACTATCACATGTATAGCTTCAGCATGTAGAACAATTTTATGTACCGCACTGTACCAGTTTACATAGTCAAATGTTTATACACATATTGTGCATTTATTATAACACAAAAGTAAATATGGTAAATACAGTTTAAGACAACTAATATATATTTTTTTCAAATGTTCTGTTTTCTTTAAAGAAAGAGTCTCCACTATTTAGTTATAATTTAAACATACCTAGCCACTCCTCGGAAGGAAGGTTGGGCAATCCTACTTCCGTAGTGATACTGCCTCGGAAACCCAAGGAGGGGTCGCTATGAGTCGGGTTTGACTCGACGGCATATAACAACAACAACAACAACAAAGTAAAGATTTCCAGTGCTAAAATACAATTTTATTTTAAAAAGAATATACATTGATACTCCTTAAATAATTGTAAATATTTGTAGTAAATATTTTTGTCAATGCTATTTGTATTCCATTTGTAAGTATTAGGTTATTTAGAATATTAGATTAAGTATTGGATAATTTTAATGGGCGGTCTGGGGAGCTGGAAGTAGATCCTTTTACTATCTTCCTTCAGGTGATTAAAGATTTGTCCTGTAAAATGATGGCTGACTCCAGTTCTACTCATCAGAGTTAGGTGTGTACATGCATATACATGTATGTGCACTTGGCCCTGTTATTCTCCCACCCCTGCTGGCCCAAAATTAAAACAGCTTATTAGGTTATATTAGCAATGCATGACTGTTTCTCTAGCGCTAAAATATGCACATTGAGACAAATTTCCAGATTGTCTCATGTGTCTGGTAAAATTGTTTCCCCAATTGCTATTTGATACATCAACAGATGGTTAACAGGAGTATAATTAAATAACTCAACAGACTTTTTCATGAACTGTAATCAGTCTTTAAGAAACTCATTATTTTGTCTCTATTTGCAGATGAACGTAATGCTAACTAAGAAAGGAAGTGTATTTTACCTTTGTTAAAGTTTATCTCTTTTATAATTGAAATACAGGTTATGAAAAGAGAGAAAAATGGTCAGAGTGTCAGGATATGAAAAGTACTATGTGATTGAAGGTAGCAATATTTTGGGGTAATTTATTATGAAACAGACAAATATTAAAAGTTAATTTTCTGCTGTGCATAGATGCGTATACTGACAAACTCATGAAACTTAAAATCCAATGTCCCTCACTTAGACATGCCCCTTTTAAGGTCTTGTACTCAGTTTTGTATCAGATATTTTGTATTTTTTGTTGTTGTTGTTGAAGAGGACTAGCAAAATTGTATCTATTTTGGCCCAAACAAAACCTACATCAATCCCTGTTAGTAAGATAAATAATTCCCATTACTTTTCTATAAGAAATAAACCAAAAACAAAAACCAAACTCACTGCCATGGAGATCCTACTCATAGTGACCCTTTCTTGGGTTTCTGAGGCAGTATCACTATGGAAGTAGATTGCCCAACCTTCCTTCCATAAGAAATAAACATGGGATATTTGTAGAATATATTTTAAAATAATAACATTGAAAGTTATTTGAAGTATCTATACATAAGTACCTTTTTCATAATATATATTAGGTAATACCTAAGATGGTAGCTTTAGTTCTGTGTAACAGGAAAACAGTGAGTGAGATTTCAGTCGTAGGTCTTTTATTTAGTTTGTAAAGAAACATCAAGAGACTTGGGAATAACAGATGACTCAAGAAAT